GGGGTGGCTGGTGAGTTTGAACTACCAACCTTTCAGTTAGCAGCTAAGCACTTTAACCACTGTGCCACTAGGGCTCTTAGGAGAGTGATTAAACAAACAAAAATAACAAACGTGTCACCACTGAGTCGATTCTGACTCGTAACAACCCTGTAGGACGAAGTAGCACTGCCCCATAGGGTTTCCAAGGAGCAGCTGGTGGATTTGAACTGCCGACCTTTTGGTTAGCAGCCGAACGCTTAACCACTGCACCACCAGGGCTCTGTAGGAGAGTGATAGATATTTAAAAACCATAAAACTAAACTGTGATGACTGAAGTGATGTAAAGTAGCTAGGCACATGCTCAGTGTATGACAAGCTGGGCTTCTGGCGCAGGGAAGTGGCTGGTGGCTTTGACCACCATTGTAAAAGATGGGGGATTTCCTGTTCTGTCCTCCACCCACCTGAGGCTGCAGTGTCAGTTAACAGCTCGTGACAGGAGTGCAGAGTGTCATCAGGGAACATCTAGACAGTGGTGCGGTTTGTGCTGTTGTGGCTGGAGAGTGCCTCCAGTTACAGACCTCAACTATGAAGAAACCTAAGCTAATTAAAGCTAGTGTCTCTGAGGACAGCCTTCACCAGTCAGTCAGTGTGGCAGGGGACATTGTTTACCAGATGAAGGGATGCTGTTTTGGAGAAGGACTCATTCCACTAGCCCTCTGCAGAGCCCTTCCTGTGTATTTCTAATTCTTGGTTTGCCAGAATTTCTCTTACACATATCTGTAAAACAAAACCAGATTTCACCACTTACTACTGCAAGGATGATAACAGGTTGTCTGCATGTCGCCCTCCTGTGATCCGGAGCTGTCACTGCAGCAGCTCGTTTTAGCTGCGAAGAAAATCATTTCACTACCGGGAGCGCCCAGGAGGGATTGGACATGAAGTGAAAAGCTAGATGGTAATCCCAGGTGACACTTTTGCTTAGTTCTGTTTTTAGAAAGCATGTATATGGGTAGTTTGACATTAAGCAAACACGTAACTTATCTTCTCTATGTTTCTTTGGCAGCTGAAGGCTATGCCGCGTTTCAGGAAGATAGCTCCGGAGATGAAGCTGAAAGTCCTTCCAAAATGAAGAGGTCCAAGGGAATCCATGTTTTCAAGAAGCCCAGCTTTTCTAAAAAGAAGGAGAAGGATTTTAAAATAAAAGAGAAACCCAAAGAAGAAAAACATAAAGAAGAAAAGCACAAAGAAGAAAAACATAAAGAGAAGAAGTCGAAAGACTTGACTGCAGCCGATGTTGTTAAACAGTGGAAGGAAAAGAAGAAAAAGAAAAAGCCAATTCCAGAGCCAGAGGTGCTTCAAGTTGATGTTCCGAGTCTCAGACCCATTTTTGGGATTCCTCTGGCTGACGCCACAGAGAGGACCATGATGTACGATGGCATTCGCCTGCCTGCAGTGTTCCGGGAGTGTTTAGATTACGTGGAGAAGTACGGCATGAAGTGTGAAGGCATCTACAGAGTTTCAGGTATTGGGTACATGCACTTAGCTCGGTGGGTTTGAAAAAGTAACTTCACTTTAATTTTTCCAAGGAAATAAAAATATTAACTTGTGAGGAAAATTGTGGCTTGGGTCCTAGTAAACCTTATTCATTCTTCTTTATCTTTCAAATTGAAGAAAATGTCCCCTCCCCTTTGTGTGTTTTGGCAGTTTGATTTTTTTTAATGCTATTTCCTTCCATTAAGACAATTTATCTTATGAGTTGTTCGTAGCTTGCAGCATCCTGGACTGAGACAAAATGAAGTGGGTGGGTAGTCTCACTTACCACGGTCACTCAGACCTTCTTTCCTGACTAAGCGGAGGCTTGTGTTGTGAGGGACAGTAGAGAGCAGCAAGGGAAGGAAGGATATCCATGCTCTTCAGAAGCTTCTTGGCCAAGAGACACACTTACTAACACAATCGGATACTGTATTTTCTGAGCTCAGCTAAGGGGCATGAAATGTTACTTGCTAAATGTTTAGGCCCCACATGTGACTGCCTCTGTCAGTCCTGTGCAGCGGTTGCGCACATTAATGCAGTTAATTTTCCATTTATCTACATCCCACGTGTATGAAGATTTGGATTTCATACTTGGCAAGAACGTGTTCATATCAGGTGTCTAAAATCAAACGAAGTGTATAATATTTAAAGTAAAATGACTTTTTTGTAAAGCAGTGTGACGTTTGTACTGGCATAGGATGAAAGTCCTGACCCTTGGCAACATCTGTGTTCCAAATCATTAAATGCCTGTTATTCCATTTCTTGGTATGGCGTCAACTTCTGTTTCGATATTTATTTTATAAAATTAATTGTTGATCACAGACATTTTCATGAGGAGTTGTTCAGACATGCACATTTAGGATATATAAAGAGATTAGGCTTAGTTTTTTCAGAATTCGTTTTTCCATTTAATTGGTTTATATACATTTCTGGAAGGTAGATTTGATACTTAAACTTGGTTGAGAAAGGGCAGGCATTTTTGGTAACTGGGGAACCTTTACATAATCCCGTAGATAACATGCTTCTACTACAAGGCTTTACTGCTACTATTGTATAGAGAAAAGTAAATACATCAGGCATTGAATTTGAATTTATAACTCCTTAGTGGTACATAACATTTAAATGAATTTGAAAAATTGACTTTTAAGAATAATTTGTAATGAACTGATCTTAAAATTTAGACAATAATAAAATAAGCTGCTTGTCTTATATAACCTTGATAGGTATGAAGAAATTTTATTTTAGGTGAAAGTGTCTTTGAAAAGTGTCTACAGCTTTGCTTAAAGGATTCTTTGTCTTTGACCTGTTTTTGATGTTTACACTCTTTTGGAGATTCAGAGTTGCAGCACTTCTCTTTACTAGTGTGAAGAGCCTTCAAGCTGAGCTGCTTGCCTGAGAATTGACTCGTAGGAGCCAAGCTCCTGGCCCTTGCTCTCTTTTCCTGGCCGTGTGCTGTGTTCAGCATGCTGTGGACTCTACAGGGCGAGGCTCTGACTTTTCTTTCTGAATGCTAATGCTAATGCTGGTTTCTGATGAAGATTTTTGCTTCTCCTTTATTTGTAGATAAGTTGCAACTAAAATGAAAGTTACTTTGAATGATTTAAATTTTATACGTTTGTTAAATGACAGATTCTGGAGTCAAGTTATAAAAATTCTAACAAAGATTTTCTTTGGGAGTAAACCAAATTGCTGCAGCCAGGAAGCCTGACACTCGAGAGGAGATACCAAGGACTTCAGTTTGAGAAAGACAGCAGTCTGTTTCTGTAAGGTCCTTTGAGAAAGTTAGTTGGGGAAAAAACGGGATTCTGAAAAGTTGTCCCTTACCCAAAGGCCAGTCCTCTCGAAGGGGGTCGGGGGAATAAGTCTGCGATTGGGCTGCAGGCCTTTTCTCCTGTTTGTGGGAGGTGCAAGGGTTTTAGCTTTACTGTGAGCAAGTTTCAGGAGAATGGGTTTGGAAGGTCCCTGTTAAGTAAGGTTTATAATATTATATAACTTTACAGTTAGAATGTTAGGTGGAAGCATGTGGGGCTGGACTAAACTGGCTGTGGTAGTTTCTGGTTGACACATTTTTTCTATAGTTTATGATTTTTTGCGTTAAAGTCTGACATGCTCTTCTCTCTCTCACTCGAATGCTTTATTTGAAGTGTCCAGGTTTTAAAAGGAAAGCATTTTGATAACAGTTTCAGAGTAACAACAAGCCAAACACATGTTCTAATTACCCACTTATGCAGTTTACTGGGTAGGTACCGCTGAGGGGGAGATAAATCTATATATAAATATATGAGAGAGAACGAGAGATCTTCATTAAAGTTATTGCTCACTGTTTTACTCATTGTCATAAAAGCAAGAATATTGAAATTATTTTCTAACCTTTCTGCTTCAGAATAAAGATCATGCAAAAAATAAGGTTTATACTATTTTGTAATTGTCACTATTGATTTTATTTTGTCAGTGCTGGGTAAGTTACAAGTTTATGGTAATGCCATTAACAGGCTTTCACAGAAGACAAGGAATGCCAAAGCTACCATAAGCACTGTATTGGTTGGAAAATGCTGTCCAGGTTAGATGGCACTTTAGTATTTGTGTTTACTGTTAGAAACTGTCAGTCTTAGTTTGTGGCTGTTTCACATAATTGGCCTAAAGTTTTAAATGTTAAGATTAAAAACAACAAACAGCTACTTTGTACTCTTTGAGCGATTGTCACTGAATTATGTCATGTCAATGCAGATTGGACTAAAGACTTTAAAATGCATGTAATGTTGGAAAAGCATTCATGCTGTGTGTCATTGTTGCTTCCTGTCCAATGAGATAAGCAAAAACATTTGGTTTTAGAAACCCAAACTTCACTGTACTTTTTTGTTTCAGCTCTGCTTTTAAGAAAACAAAGAATTCAAACTTGAAAATAGAAATTAGGTGGGAATTATTTGAATGGAGAATAATTTTCAGAGTTTGTTTAGATAGCGAACTCACCTTTGGCATTTAAAATGCAGTTTCTACTTAGAAAAAAGTAATTACTCACACCTTTCTGGAACATAATATCCACGTACACTGAGCTGCGTTATGTTGTTAGTCTTGTGACGGGTTTTGTAACTCCTTGGTGGCGGTGCCTCTGACATCCCGCTACCCACACCTGCTATGGCGAACAAGACTTGTGCTTGAGTTGTAGCTTAATTTTTGCCAGAATTTTTACCTATTAACCTTTGAACAATTTTTTTGTTTTTTAGTTTTTCCTGAATCAGTTAGTGTATTTGCTTAATATGTCCCTAGTTGCTCTACATTGGTTCTGAGTAATGAGTTTCTCAGTTATCATTTAACTTTTGGTTAGAATCACTCTTGAAGTGTTGTCTTTTACATTCTATTATTTACAGAAGAACTGTCTGAATCTCGTGTAGATAAATAATTCGTAACTAGAGGTTTGTTCCCAGATCTCCTCAGCAGGGTGGGTGTAGTGGTGACGAAAGCTTGTGTGTTTGATATATATATATATTTTTTTTTGGTATTCTCTTTCTCTTTTCAATTTGAATGTTTTAAGGAATTAAATCAAAGGTGGATGAGCTAAAAGCAGCCTATGACCGAGAAGAGTCTCCAAACTTGGACGAATACGAGCCTAACACTGTAGCCAGTTTGCTGAAGCAGTATTTGCGAGACCTTCCAGAGAATTTACTTACCAAAGAGCTGATGCCCCGGTTTGAAGAGGCCTGTGGGCGGGGCACCGAGAATGAGAAAGTGCAGGAATTCCAGCGTTTACTGAAGGAACTGCCGGAATGTAACTATCTTCTCATTTCCTGGCTGATTGTACACATGGACCATGTTATCTCCAAGGAACTGGAAACAAAGATGAACATACAGAACATTTCTATAGTGCTCAGCCCAACGGTTCAGGTACGTGGGCTTCCCTGCCCACATCTCCTCTGGTATTGGCCCTGAGAATCTGTGGCTGAGTAGCATATAGAGTAATTAACAGTTCTGCTGTGTCCGGTAGGGTCCGTATGAGTTGGAATCGACTTGACAGTAGGTTTGGGTTTTGGTTTTATGCAATGGATTAGCTTGAATATAGGTCTTTTTTCGTACTGACATGTGAGATAATGAGCATATTTGTCCGTTAGCTTGTAGTTATGTCATTTGAATATTGTACAGTCTTTAGTGTGGATTTAAAATTCAGGTCCTGATGGCGGTAATCTGTCACGAGTAGAGGAGGAGACAGTGGTACCTGCAGTTACAAACTTGATGTATAGAATTTTCAAGATTTCAATGATTTCATCAAATAGCATTATTGCTTAGTTATAGCACACACACGTATGTCCAACTCAGGCACAGAGGAGTCTGTCATGAATTAGTTTAGTCAAAGATTTAACCTGAGGATTTTATTCCTAAGATGGATCTTAGAGAAGCATTTTATAGTATCTTAATCTGAGAAGGTGTCTCAGGGAATTGAGTAATGAGTTAATTGGAGTCTTTTTGCAGCTCTCATATCTGGCCCTCATTTATTGCTGCAGTTTGTGCTGTCATAGGGTATATGTTTTCCTTAAATTAGAGGTGTTAATATTTCACTCAGGCAAAGAACAGAAAATGAGATGATGGGTATACTTTTCATTTTAAGCTCTCTTTTTGGCCTGCATAATTGGTCACTATAAATCAGTGTCTTCTTTTATTAAAGATTCTTTCATTATCCACTGAGTATATTTTAGCAGCAGAATGTTTCCAGATTTTCAGTTTGATCATTTGTATTAGGTATGATTTCAGAATTTGGTAAATATTACATTATTATTTAATATTACTGTAATAGAGATGGCAGTATCACAGAAGATTCAGGTGTATTGTAAGAGTAAGTTCCAGGTAGGAAGTCATTTCTTTCATTAGTTTTTCAGGCAGCATAATGTCCTGGGCTCCAGCATATGGTCATCATGTTTAAAAACTGGCTGTGCAGGTATGCACTGAAGTGTGCACATTTGGGTGAGGGTCTCTCCCAGCCTCAACCCAGCATTAGCACTGCAGGTGCTCTGACTTCCCTCATTATTCCTTACTAGACCCCCTTATGGAAGTTAAAAGTTCTCTTAAATCACTTGAAAATGAAGAACATCAGGTTTTTTTAATCAGTTAATATTGTAGTGATAGAAAAGCAGCCATGTGTAGCTTGCTTGAGAAGAAATTGGTGGTGGCTTTGCAACAATAACCACAACCAAAAGGGAGGTGGGGCTACAGATGCTGATAGTAATTAGACATAACCAGGCTCTTCATGGCATTAGTTCTCTTGGTTTGAGGGCCTAGAGCCGTGGTCTCATGGGAGAATCCCGTCAATTGGCATAATATAGTTCTTAAAGTTTATGTTCTACCTCCCAGTATGGTGAGTAGTGTCTGGGGTCTTAAAGCTTATAAGCAGCCATCTAAGATGCAACGATTGGTCTTTATTCATCCGGAACAAAAGAGAAGAAAGGAAACCCAAGAATCAGAGAAGGAACTGGACTACAGGACTAATTGTCTACATGAACCGCTGCCTCCTCAACCTTGAGGTCGGAACTAGATGGTGCCTGGTTACCACTATTGAATGTTCTGGTCAGGAACACAGTAGATGAATCCTGATAAAAAGGTAGAAAATTGTGGGCCAGGACTTCAGATTCTTAAAGAATCTAGACTTGCTGGAACTTTTGAGGCTGGAGGAGTCCCCAAGACTATGGCCCTGAGTTGCTCTTCAAACACTGAATTGAAACTATCCCCTCAAGTCACCTTTAAACTAAGTAGCAGTTTAGCCCAAAAAGGAAAGATGGTAGTCCTTGAGTATTGCGTTTTTATAAACATATATATATATGAGACCAAAGGGTCAACAGCTATTTTAAAGCAAAGATGAGAAGGTTAGGGGCAGGGAGCTTGAGTAAATGGCAGTGAAGCAGCTAGAACAGAACACCGTGTGAAGAATGCAAAGAGTGCCACTGAGCATCGCGTCTGAACACTGGAACGGGAGCTGGCTGTGCTGTGTGTATTTTCACCAGAAGTAAAACTAAAAAAAAAAAAAGGTAGTCATTAGCGTCTGCGTTCTTTTCTTGGCTTTTTTTTTTTTTTTAATCCTTTATGGTTCTTGAATACATGATTTAACTCAATTTCTCCATTTTCTTTTGTTGAATTGGTCATTACTGAGGATATTTTTCATTCATATGTCAAGGATAAAAGCAAACACTGCGATAGACAAACATTAAATGAAATAAAGTTATAATTTTAATAGCTTTCTTGAAAATATTTTTATCTTGTTTTAGATTAGCAATCGTGTCCTGTATGTGTTTTTCACACATGTGCAAGAGCTCTTTGGAAATGTGGTACTGAAGCAAGTGACAAAACCTCTTCGGTGGTCTAACATGGCCACTATGCCCACACTGCCGGACACCCAGGAGAGCATCAAGGAGGAGATCAGAAGACAGGTATGTGAGATGTAGCCTTCAAGAGCCGCCTTTGATCTGACCGCTTAGAGGCTGAGTCCCATTGTTACCAGCTCTGGTTTATGGGGCACTTGCTGTGTGGCTGAGGCTGTGTTAGCCCCGTTTTTCAGGCCGCACTGGAGCCAGAGCTTTCCATCTGGCACTGTGGCATGCCAGGGAAGACAGAGCAGCAGCGTGGAAAGAGCACAGGTTTTGGAATCAAAAGACCTGGCTTTAAATTCTTGCTCAGCTCCTAATTGACTGGTTGTAGGCAAATCACTTAACCTCCTTGAGCCTCAGTGTTCTCAGTTTAAAACGGATGCTCTCAGAAGATTGATGTGAAGATTAGCATAAATGAAATAATGTATGGAAAGAGCTCAGCACCGTGCCGGGCTTGTAAACAGTCCAGAATGTTAGCTAATCCGGACAGGCTTGCTGTTGTCATCACCGTCCCTTACAGACAAGGGCACTGAGATCAGGAAGGTAAAGAAGTTCTGTGTACCACCTGCCTACTACTGAGCTCTGGAGCCAGAATTCGAGCCAAGGCCTGTGCCTTCTGCTGTGCTGTTGTGTATAACATTTGGTTGTGTGGTGGTTTGGTTTTGCTTTTTTTTGCAAGACTGACTAAGAAACTCAAGACTTACATTTGATTGTTATTCCATCTTTTATTTGCATGCACGTTTTCTGAGCAAATTTCAGATCCCTGCTTGCTTTTCTTCCTTTTGATCTGCTCTCAGCTCCCGTTCTTACTGGTTAATCATGTGTTTGAGGGAATGTGAATTAACTACTATTGAACCAGGGTAAATTGACGAAGGAGAGCACAATGCCCTTTTTCACTCATGTCCTTGAAAAAGTCATTCATGCCATTAGTTGACTCCTTTCAAGGTAATTGAAAATAGTCGATTCTACATCTTTAGAGATTGCATGATTGTTATTTTAAAATAATAAGACATGGAATACTAATCGATATGCGGTGTTGTTTTCTAGGAGTTTCTTTTGAATTGTTTACATCGAGATTTGCAGGGTGGGATAAAGGATTTGTCCAAAGAAGAAAGATTATGGGAAGTACAGAGAATTTTGACAGCCCTCAAAAGAAAACTGAGAGAAGCTAAAAGACAGGTGAGTAATGGAATATGCTGGTGTCTTTGATAGTTCTTTCTTTTAAAAATACAGTGTATACATGTCTCTTGAAGTGAAGTTCCCTGATGGGAAATTTTATTTGCTCAAATGTCTTCAGTTCTGTATTATTGATACTTCCCCTTGGTATCGATCAAATGCTTTATTTTCAAAGCTTTTTTTTTTTTTTTTTTAAATTAAAAAGATGATTTTTACTAAAAGATGTTTCATCATTTCCTACTCGATTACCCCTGTTAAACAGAGCTTTTTAAGGAGGGTGATACATCTTCAGAGACTCTTGGGAAACCTGAGGCATTTGAAATGAATCAGCTCTTTGGAAGTGCAGTGGTAAGGACTGCATGGAAGATAATGAGCAGGAGGGATTTTCCTTACCCTGGTGGCACAGTGGTTAAGAGCTGTGGCTGCTAACCAAAAGGTCAGCAGTTCAAATCCACCAGGTGCTCCTTGGAAATCCTATGGGGCAATGGGTTTGGTTTTTTTTAAATAATAGAGTGCTTGTAATTAATTCCTGAAAAGGTGGGTACATTAATCAGACTCTGGATCCTCCCCGCTAGTTTAGCGTGTTTTGTGCAGCCCGAGGACTGAGCTTACCAGCCACACCTAGAGCTAAAATCTCAAATCTCTGGAGTCTGTTACAGTTCATACGCAGATTAAACTGCAGGATGAAATTCCATTCCAAGGAACCTTAGCACTTACCAGACTCCTGTTTGGTAATGGACCACTACTGTGGTTGTGCTAAAAGACTAGCCAGCCTGAGTGGTTTTGCTGCTGGGAGGTTAGAGGTGGGTTTATGTGGAGGATTGTTGTTAGCTGCCGTAGAGTTGGCCCTCGCTCGCGGCAACACCATGAACAGCAGAACAAAACACTGCCCAGACCTGCACCATCCCCAGGATCAGCTGCAGATTGGACTGTTGCGATCTATGGGGTTTTCATTGGCTGATTTTTAGAAGTAGATCACCAGGCCTTTCTTCCTAGTCCATCTTACCCTCAAAGCTCCACTGATATCTGTTCAGCATCATAGTAACACACAAACCACCACTGACAGACAGGTGCAGCTGTGCATGAGATGCATTGGCCAAGAATTGAACCCTGGTCTCCCTCATGAAAGGTGAGAATTCCACCACGGAACCAGCAATAGCTGACTGGTTTTCCAGCTTTTGTCAGGAGGGAAACATCCGTGGAAGTTTTACAGATGCTCTGGGTTGAGTGAACCAGCAGAAGCCCTCTCCGTATTTTCTTCCTTTCTTCTGCTGACTAGATGGTCTGTCTTTTGCTTCGTATGTCTGCTTTGCATCAGCCTGGAATTGGGTTGTAGTCACTGATGAATCAGGCTTCTTAGGTAGATTATAATTTTTAATCCTATGGCATTGCCAGTCACTCTTGAAACAAAAGGGTCCTCGACCTAAGACATGGCTAATGCAGGTTTGACTTTGATTTCTCTTGCTTCTGCATCGCTCTTGGATAAACAAATCGTGACGTAGCAACCAGAGCCAACACGGAAAGGGAATGATTACCTTCACTTTACCAGTTTTCTTTGTCCTGTTTTCATGCCTGCTCTTGAATTCACAAAACGCTCAACAGCTTCTATCAAGTTGATTTTAACTTTTTTTAAATCATGTTTACAGTAAAATATAAATGGAATATGCTGGTATCTTTGATAGTTATTTCTTTTAAAAATACAGTGTATACATGTCTCTTGAAGTGAAGTTCCCTGATGGGAAATTTTATTTGCTCAAATGTTTTCAGTTCTGTATTATTGATACTTCACCTTGGTATCAATCAAATGCTTCATTTTATTTTCAAAGCTTTTTTTTTTTAATTAAAGGAATAAAAATTTGAGGAATAAATGTTATTTAAAGCCAGAAGTCCTGTAATTCATCACATTAACAGACTAAAAATAAGAAAAACTACAAAGTCATGTCAATGGATGCAGAAAACTCATTTGGCAGAATTCAACACTTAGTCGTGATAAAAATTTTTAGCAAGCAATTGTCTCAACCTGATGAAGGACATCTATGAAAAAAATCTATAATTAACATCATATTTAATTTGTAAGACTGAATACTTTCTCCTAACATTGGGTGTAGAAGGCAAGGATGTCTGCTCTCACCACTTCTGTGCTACATTGTGCTAGAAGTTCTTGCCAGTGCAATAAAGAAGGAAAAAAAAGAAGCAGACAGATTGAAAAGAAATAACTGCGTTTATTGTTAGGTGACGTGATTGTCTATCTGTAAAATACTAAGGATTATATGTCTACAAAAAAAGAGCTAGTGAGTTTAACAAGGTTGTAGGATACGAGATCAGATACACAAAAGTCAGTTGTATTTATGTATATTAGCAGTGATCAATTGGATATTGATCCAAAAAAAAAAAAAAA